GTTGCCCAGACAAGTTGTGGATGTCTCATTCCTAAAAGTAGCTTCAAGGCCAGGCTGGATGCATCTTTAAGCAGCTTGGTCTGATTGAAGGTGTCCCTGCCCACAGTAGGAGTGGGGTGGAACTAGATGATCTTTGAGGTCCTTTCCAACCCAAATAAGTCTATGATTCTGTCATCTTTTATTGTATAAGCAGGCAAAATATGTTATTTCTGCTCATGTAACTACAGTTGCTGTAACTCATTTTACAATTTTCTCACTCTGAATTTTACAAATATTAATGCAGATGATGGACGGGTTTTGTTTTGTGTAGGTCTCAGTGCAATTCACATGGTGGTGATGGCAAATAGCATGTCCTGCCTCAAACAGCTGATTGCTGCTGGAGTTAACGTCAATGCTCAGGAACAAAAATCTGGACGAACTGCATTGCATCTGGCTGTTGAACAAGAGAACATCCCCTTGGCAGGCTGCCTTTTGCTTGAGGTAAGGGCAGAATTTCTTTCTTCCAGGTCTTTTCAATTACATATTTAAAAGCCGTTGACAATCCTTGACTGCTTCAGAAAAACAGAAGGGGGGAGGTTCCTGTTTATTGTCTAGATTACTTGAACTGGTATAATGGCAAAGTTACTGGTAATGTTACTGTTTTGTTCACTGCTGGTGAAGCTTTTGCCTTGAGGCATTTAGAGTTTGTGATCCTAACCTGACTGCATATGCCATGTATAATTTGCACTGACTAATCCTTGCAGGCACTGAAGTTACCATGAACAAGTTCATCCCTTCTTCTGTGTGAAGTACAACATGTATAGAGACGTGGACAGAGATGTAGTTGTGTAATCTATAAATATTTGTCTCATCCTAACACCTTGATCCTGGTATCCTTAATTCTACACCCCCCAGCTGGCTGTGGAGCTTTCTTCTGTGTTCATGCAGGGATGTGCCACCAGCCTGGCTGCTCTTTTGATGAGCAACAGGAGGGCAGGATTCTGTGCACACCACATAGATTTCAAAGGCTACAGGCAATCAGATGGCAGAACTTTTACAGGGGATGCAAAGTGGCTTTTATCTACCTGACCTATTTGGAGATACACACTGTGCATCCTGCTCTAACACTGGAGCACACTACCATCCTGTGCATGCAGACAGTTTTAGTTACTTTCTAATTCCTTCTTTTCAGGCAACAATTAGAGATTTTATGCAACCAGGCATAGAATGGTGCTTATTTGCACAGTAGTTGTGTTTGTGCTGGCATAAGCCTCTGCAGCTGCATTGTACAGATTTCTTTTCTTTTTTGCCATTCAATAATAACTTAGGGTGATGCAGATGTGGACAGCACTACATATGATGGGACAACTCCACTTCACATAGCAGCTGGAAGGGGCTCAACACAATTGGCAGCAGTTCTCAAAGCAGCAGGTATGGAAATAGATCTTTGCTGGAGGCTTTTCTTACACGGTGACAATTCAAGTTAGAAGGCTGCAAGCAGAAAAGAATGTGCCAGTGAACTTGTTTAATGGGTGGAGGAAGTCAGATGTTAAAAGCAAGAAGGCCTGAATTTCCGCAGAAAGTCCTGCTCTGAAGTGCTATACTAATCACTCTTCAGCACCATCTAATGGCTAGAAAGGCAAATTATCTTGGTCAAAAAAAAAAAAATCTCATGAGGACTTTGGGAAATTTTATGAGTATCTCTTGTAGCTGAAGAAGTGGACATTTTTTTTATATATCTGGAATAAGTGTTAGACTGCTTTAGAAGTAAAAACAAAAAAAAATGCCATCAACTGAAGCATGAGCTTATTAGTGTCTCCTACTGCTGTCACTTTGGAAGGATTAGGTTGGAGTATTTATTGGAACATTTTGTCAATTGTATTTAAACCTGATTTTTGTCCTTTGAAACAGAAACTCAAGCCTCCCATTGCTGAGTCTGTCTACCTGGTCATTTAAAAACACCCACACTTTCTCTGACACTCTAAAAAGCAGCACCACACCATCCCTTCATCACATGCATGCTGTGCTGTGTGAGGGGAGATGGGACTGGAAGTCAGTTGATACAAACAGAGCTCTTTCTTTGGGCCCTAAGGCTCAGCTTGCCAGTTTTTTTCCCTCTTTATAATGAGAAGTAGCATTGTACAGAGATGTGATAGCATTTAAATGTAATTGATAAAAAGAGCTACTTGCTAGCTTAATATGAAATATTATTTACCTGGAGTAGCTAAATTAGCTGATTTGCGATTCAGTACATGGATTGCATATTTTAAATATTATTGAGAAGCAACTTGAAGCCCTTCCCCACCCTGCCCAACTTGTTTTTTAGGTGCAAATCCTCACATTGAGAACTTTGAGCCATTGTTTGATCTAGATGATGTGAAAGGTGATGATGAAGGGATTGTGCCTGGAACAACACCACTGGATATGGCAGCCAACAGTGAGGTATGTGGTCTGTTTTCTCTTTTAGTTTTTTGCTGCTTTTTTTTTCTTAATTAAAAGGGATAGTTCAGCTCTCTCAGCCAACTCCTTTCACTGCATCCAAAATTATTTCAATTAATTAGACTAATTTGCCATCAAAAATTAACATTAAAAAATTAAATTATTAAAAATTAATTCAGCCATAAAACTCCCCTGATGAAACAGCACTGGAAGAAAGCTCCACTGAACTGACTAATACTGCTGAACAGAAATGACCGGGCAGTTCTTCAAGTAGCTGCACTACAGTCTTCAGTGTGGGAAAGTATTTAGCTGGGTGGGTAGCTTATGTTTGAAGGCCAGTTCTCCAGTGAGTTTCTTTGCTGAGTGTTCTTCAGAATTACAGCCTGTGTGTGATGGGAAAATTCACTCCTGCATTCTACCCAAGCAGTGATTAAGCTGATTATTGTGCATTTGGCTTGGTGTGAGTGTAAAGGATAAGCAGTCAGCATCTCTAATCATCTGGAGCTGGGGAGTGGTACCAGTCTTAGGTGAAAATCTAACCCAGGCTTTGTTTTAAATGACTAATTTCAGACAGGCAGCAGCTCCTTGCTTAGCCACTGCTACTGCCATTTATTTACTGCCAAGACTTCCTCTGTGTCTTGGAAATAGTTGCCAGATGACACAGCTTAAAATAAAGGGAGCTTAACTTCTCAAAATTTCTCCCTGAAGTTTGGCATAGGCTTTCTATGCTATCCTTAGTCATACTGAGCCTGGGAGAGGAAAAAAATGCTGATTTACAGATGGAATTAGGGCTTTATATAATACTGCAGAAACTTCATGGACACTAGATACTGACTTTATTGTATTCTCTTAGGTGTATGACATACTAAATGGCAAACCCTACGAGTCAGCAGAGGTTTTGGAGGACTTACTCACACAAGGTAACACCTATAAAGACTTGACAATATCCCTCTAGTAATTGAGTACTGAAACCATACTGGCAGAACACACTGCTACAACAGCTTGTAACTGAGCTGGTGAGAGAAGAGAGGTGCCCTCCCACCCCCTCACTGACAGAATGAGCATGATTCCCTTAAGATGTCTCAAGGACAAGGAGTATATTTACAGTATTGCAGCAATACATTTCTAAATGCTGAGATTGGACTCTCAAATCGTTTTCAGTTTGGCTTTGTTTCTGCTTAAAAATGAACTGGTGTACGGTCTGTATAAATAATAAACTAATATGTTTCTCTGTTCCCCAGGACATTTGAGAGAGCTGAATGAGAATTCCAAGATGCAGCTTTACAAACTATTGGAATTGCCTGATCCAACTAAAAACTGGTCCACCCTAGCACAAAAATTGGGTCTTGGCATACTTAATAATGCCTTCAGGTTGAGCCCTTCCCCATCGAAGACTCTGCTGGATAACTATGAGGTAATGTGCTGTAACAAGTGATACAGAATATTCATACACGCAGAGAACCTTGTCCTCCCACACAGTGAGACAGTGCAGCCCTGCAGTTTTAGCCAGCCTGGATGATGCTGAGTATCTGATGTCTGCCCTTTCAGGTTTCTGGCGGTACAGTTCAAGAGCTGATCACTGCTTTGAGACAGATGGATCATACAGAAGCCATAGAAATAATTCAGGAAGCACTATCCATCTCACGCAGACCATCTCCCCTGGAGGACAGTACAGCAAAAGCTCTTCCATCATCACTGCTCACCTTTGCAAACGGAGAGACAGGTAAAATTGACAGCAAAATATAAGGAGCTTTATTTTAGATTTTTTTTCAATTCTCCCTCCCCACTCTATCTAGGACTGCTGATAGATTGCATGCCTTCTTGCACACGCTGCTCCACCTGCTTACTGGTTTCAGAAATATTTTACTACAGTGTGACCCATCTCATCATAGGCATCTGCTAGGCACAGGAGAGGAAAACTGGACCATTTGAATCAGCATGCCTGCAGCACACTATTCATTGTACTACTTCCCTTTGCTTAAACCAGACACCTGCCATTTGCTAACGGTAATGCCTTGGATGTACTGGAAATATAGGCAATTATCTCCTAGGTGTGTACAAGTGCCATTAGCTTTTGGCTTCCTCCCCACCCCCCTCTCCCCATCACTGGATAAACAAAAATATTTTGGGCTCCTAAACTTCTCATTAAGACTTCAGTATTAAACTTCTCCTTCCACAAAGTGTAGCGCTCTAAAACGGCTCAGTGTTCTGTAGGCAAAGAAACTGGGGATAGCTTAGGTTACACAGGACCTTGAGCTGTGCTCAGAGCGGGGCCAGTGGAACATGACATGAGGTTGCCCATGTTATGTCCAGGTGAGTTCTGAGCATCTTCAGTGATGGAGGTCCTGCAGTGGTTTTGGGCAGGAAAATCTACTAAGAGAAAAAGAGATTGTGAGAAGTTTGTCAGCAGGGGCTGTTCAGTCATTGCCTGGCTAGGTTTAGTAACAAAAACCTTTGTTTTTTCTTGCTCAAAAAGCGGTAGTGCTGCCTGTAGCCTAATGTGGAAACTTGCACCCTGTGTAAAAATACTGTAGGCTAGTTCTCATAAAAAAAAGAAACTCCACAGTCACTCCATTCCAGTCTAACATTGCCAGTTTATTCTCTATAGAAAACTGTTGATCAGTCATAGAATGAATAAACCTTTCACACCCACGCAAAAATGTGCTTGTACACATATTGCACATATTGAACCTTTAGAGTCATCTTGAAGGGTAAGAGGGGTTCTGCTCCCTATGCAACATGGAGTGCATCACATTGTTTATTTAAGATGCTTGTTTAGAACAACAACACTGAACTGTTAAGATACCACCGCTGTTTTAGTCACACTGATCCCACAGCGTACCTTCAGTTTCAGCTCTTGCAATCAGGCACTCCAGCCATGGATCCTGCACAGGTGATAGATGCTACTGACTTGTTCCTATTCTGGGGTCACTTGCTAGATGAAAACTCTTCAAGTGTTTGTCTCAAAAAGAAATCTGTAAGTTGAAATAACATGAATTGTAAGTTTTAGGAGCCTCAGCCTAGAGCTGTACACTTGCCCAGAGTGTGACTCTGAGAACCAGAGAATCTTTTGCCCTGCAAACACCACAGGTGGGCAGAGTCCTGACCCGAACGTAGCAACAGCATTAGTGTCAGCAGAGCACCAGGCTTCTCATCCCATCCAATCTCCAACTGCAAGCTGACCTCTGCCAGCAGTACATCAGATCCCATGCTTTGGTGGCCTGAAAACATTCAGCACAGCTTTTCCTATTATAATAGCTCATGTCAGAGTTATTTTCCTATAGAAGAGCTTAACCCTGTTGGTTTGTATTCCTTAGGTTTTTCTTAAAGCACCCTTGCTGAAGCCACACCAACGATGATGTTTCCCTTTTCTCTGTCCCTCAGGTGAGCTCTATAATAGCAGATTTCAAGACACCGAAAGTACGTGTGACAGCGGTGTGGAGACCTCCTTCCGCAAGCTGAGTTTCACCTACTCAGACTCTCTGAACAGCAAGTCCTCACTAACACTGGGCAAAATGGCCCTGGGCTATGGACATGAAGATTCAGGGCAAAGCAATTATATAGCTGACTAGTGATCTTCAATTAGCAATATGCAGTTACAGGAACAAGTGGGACATTTCAAATTGCATCAGTGTCATCCTGGCCAGAGGGAAGGGAACCCACAACCAAAAGTGCACTGGAAGAATCTCACCTAAATCCAAACAAATGGCAACTGCAGCATGTGACTGCTTCCTTCCTCAAGTACATTTAACTGTGTTCATTTACAAGCTATTTACAATAACCAGGGCTACACTGCTGCATTAATACACAGGACTGGATGCTGAGAAAGACTGTGAACTTTCCTGGTCTGTGAGGATTTTCTTTTACAGATGAAAAAGAAGTTGTTAATGCATAATACAAACTTACTAAAGAGGTTAAGCTCATGAGCAATCAGAAGATACAGTTTCTAGCTGCTCTCTTCATAATTTTTGCAGCACGGTTGTATGAAAACAGCTTATAAAATAGCTGGCAAAGAAAAATCATTACTTTCATCACAGCAGTAACAACTCAGAGAAAAAAGAGAATCCTAAAAGAATCTTGTATATTTCAAATAATGTATTTAAACTTAACTTTGGTGTCTCTTATTCAAAAATTTTTTCAAGTTTGCCATTTTCCTACTTGTAAATAGTTTTTTTATATCTGTTCCTTTTTGAAAAAGTGGGCTTTTTAAATGCTTATTTTTATTTTACTTTTATAATAAAACCCTAAAATTAATTCTCCTGTCTGTGCCTCTTGTGATTATTACATTACTTTTTAAGTAGAGTTATTGAAGATTTAGCATCTCAGGTTTAGGCATTGATACCAGATCATGCTGATTTCCAAGCACTAAAATAAATGAAAGGTTGCAAGCCACCTGTCTGAAAGCTAAAGTATCTTTTATGGAGGGAGAGCAGAACCATCAGCTACTGCTGAGCAGCTGTGCTTTGAGATTAAAGCCTCTGCCGTGTTTTAGTTCTCATCATTATGACAGCAGAGAATCAATTTACACTGAAACCAACTACTTAGTGTCTCAGCAAATCTCTGATGAGACAGCTCTTCTTTGGGCTACCTAGAATCACCTGTAGTAGCTGGGTTCATGAGTGGTGTTTCTTCTTATCTGACATCAGTTCTGAGATGGTGAGTGTCCTGTTTTTGATGCTGGTCCAACTAAACAGAGCAGGCATCAGAGTTCAAGATGAAAAAGCCAAGAGGGGCATTGCACCATTGTCACATCTAGCCAATCTTTGTTGCACAAAGACAGAGTGTTGACAGGGTAGTTGTTGGCTCAGCTCAATCTTCAGTAACCTGGTTGTCACTCCTGGGAAAATGAATCAAGATAAACCTTGAGAATGGTTATGTTTAGAGTGGTAGTTGCTGTAATGAATTAAACTGTGAGTAATGAAAAAAAACTTCTGAATTAATTTTATAATCCAGCTGAATCACTGAGAATATTAATTACTTCCAGTGAAGATGAATAATAGTAGACGTGCCATTCTTTCTTTCAGCTCTTACATGTAAAACCCTCATCTAGGCAGTGTCCAGGCATACAGGGCATAGTCTAAGGCATACAGATTTTTGTTCAATTAATGTACTTCTCCAGCATTCTCTTTATATTCCAGCTCTAATAGAAACAGGCAAAGGTTTTCACATTCCAGGAGTGGAGGGACTTTTTGAGCCCTAGGAGAGCTGCTGTCCAAGTAAAACACACCTTCTGCTTCCACAGAATTTCCAGCACAGCTCGGGGCTGGCAGAGATTTTTACTGAGCTTTTTACAATCCTGCAGGTGACCAGGCCATGCTGGCTGTTATTCACACCTTTTAGCTTTAGTTCTGACCAGCTCTGCTTTTACACCACCAGAAGACACCTGGATCTGTATTTCCTTAAAGCACTTCATGACTAGATGTTGCATAATAGCTGTTTATCAGGTTAGTGATCGTGAACAGCAGGTCCCCTAGGCCCTGTGTACTGAAGTGCTTTACATAGCAGTCTGGCAGCTTCTCAATTTCAGTGTATTTAATAAAAAATGCTTTAATCCTTTTAGGTTTTTTTCATTTGTTTAAGAGATAGAAAAATACTATTGAGAGTCTGTCTACACCTGGCTTATATAGAGAAACCTTCAAACTTATTCTGCAGGTGCAGTGAAATAGAGCTCACTCCGTTATTCTGCTACTCTACCGCAGTAATAAACATCAGAAACTAGTGGAATGCAGCAGAAGTTGTGACAAGATCCCTACAGATCTTCTCTACATTTGATGTAAAATTAATGATTCAGAAAGTTAAACTGCCCTTGAGTTTAGATTGGCTGCAACAGCTCTACGTTTCCTGGCATCATCTTGGCATGTATTTAAAAACTTGGAAATCAATGGTAGTGGGAAGCTCTAGGCAGCATTCTGAGATTCTGTGGACTACAGGAAGAGTAAGACTCTTACCTACATGTAGTGGTGTATGAACTGTCTTCTCCCTTGCCTGGGAAAGTAAAATGATTTTTTCATGCATTTAAGAAAAAAGAGCCACTGTCCTTGCTTCCCCCAAGTAAAGTGACAGGAATGGTGGTGGCCATTTGCTAGCTCAGGGTGCAGTGGTCAATACTCACCTACCATCCACAGCTTCTGGATGATCATGTCTTGAAATAAAGCACATCTAGAGTAATGGCCAATGGCACAGTCCAAACTTTTGCTGGCTTCAAAAGATTCCTACAGCAAAAGACAACACAAGTTAATTACCAAGGAGTTCATTTTCTCCATTCAGCGTTATGAAGCAGCCTGATGTCCCACTTTGAGCCAGCCTGGAGTATGTTTTTCCAAGGCTACAGCAGTTTCCCATGGCCTCATTTAAATCTAACTGCTATAGGATTTTTCTGCTATGCAGTCACTCTTGCCATATGCACAATGCAGAAGAGCACTAGCTCAGGTACTTACAGGTCTCTACTGACTGACTACTTCTTACAGAGATGGCCTTGTTTCATTTAAATTTTGGTTTTCCATGCTAATTGAACAAATTTGGCCTTTTGTTTTGCTACCTTGTAACTGGATCTGACTGGAAAGCAGAGTTAATAAGCACAACTCTTGAACTGAAACCTATCCTAAAAACCATGTGTTCCTGATTCCCTAAGCAGGTAAGAAAGAAAACAGTGATTTTAACAATGAAAAGGCTGGCTTGTAAGCTTCAAAACCATGCTCTCCTGTACTGAAAGTAAGAAACTTATTGGCCCATTTCTCTCCTCCTGACACTGCTACAAGTCACTGAAATAGACTCTATTACAAAGCTCCAAAACCAAAAGGGAACTAACAGAAGTGAAAATACTTAAGAAAGATGTGCCTCTAGAACAGAAAATCTGTCCAGGCCACAAGGTATGCAAACAGCAGATAAAAGAAAGACTGACAGAGAACTATGAACACTTACTTAGATGGGAACTTCTGCATATATTTGCACACATCTTTCCTGGAGAAGATGCAGAACTTGAAAATGCTTCCAAGGATATGCTCCAGTATACAGGAGAAAAATAAGTCTTCCTTGTGTGACAGAAAGTATGAACAGGTGCCCTCTAAAGCTCAGAATAGCCTTTGCAAGCTCAGAATGAGGTCAACAGATTAGCCAACACCATACAGTGTTCTTCCCACACCTGCTCTCAAGTTCTGTTCTGGAAGGGCATTTGTCATAGCTGTGGGGCACTCTGGCTGCCACTTTTGCCCTCAGTGGAGAACAGCGCAGAGGGGCTCAGGAGCAAACAAAGGGCACAAGAGAACTCACTGGTCCTCAACAAGACATTGCAAGGCAGCACCTTGAAAGAACACTGACAAGGCCAGGCCCCTCTACTGCTGCCACCAATACTGAGGACAAGCACCATGACACTTACCAAATGCTCCTGCTGCCAGAGCCCCATCAGATAGAACTGGCAGCACAGGCGCTGCTGTAGCTGTAACAACACTCAGCTGGCAAGATGGACATGTCCACAGGAGTGTGGGGGTACCAGTGCTGCCTTCTTATCTCTGCCCTGATCTGAGACAAAGGCAGAACAATGTAACTAAGTATAGCACAGGACACCACTGCGAAACTACCAAGGGGAAATGGTTAACCAAAGCACACTTTACAATCGCTGCTGCATGGCAGGAGAACAGCTTCTATAAATATACATCTATTACAACACCAGGAAACCAGAAGAACATATTGAGGATATTAAAACAATAATGGAAGTCAACCTTCACCTTCAAATTCTGGTTTGAGTTCAAGCATTTGGCTTAAGCAATTACTAATCTTTCATAATGGCACCTAGTGCTGAATTAAAGACTTTCAGTGAAAAAGAATGGATCTACTCCTTAGGGAGCTTCTGACCTTCAAAAACAGTGATAATTTAAAAAATTGTCCAAACCTTGCTATTTCAATCTGGTTATTGCAGAAAGCAACAGGAAAAAAAAATAAAAGAATGGTGTTCTATATAACAGTGCTAGTAGACATTAGTTGCATAGCCACTTCATCACTTATTAATCATGTACCACATAACTTCTTTCATAATTTTGCCTAAAAGTTGTGACAGGCTAAACAAAGTCAGAGTTATCCAAATTTGTGGGTTTTTCTTCTAGCAATCCGAAAGCTCTTTTCTACCTATCTCAAACTTCACTCATATGCTGAGATGAACAAATATCACCAACCTCCAGACAGGCCTTGTGATTGTCTTTAAACAAGTGATTCCTCCGAAGTTTTATTTATTTAACACTATTAAGTGCCATTTTGAAATGCTACCTAGATGTTGCTGGAAGAGACATTTCTCCATCAATGTAAAAAAGACATCAACAAACTTGCCCTTTTTGTAATACACTGCAGCAGTACATATTAATCATATTTTCTCCACATTTTTTCATTCTTACCTTATATTGACTTTATTGCTACTTTGATTCCAGAACACAAAAGAAACTGAAGAATTTTTCTGGTATTGCTGGCCCATGATTCCCCTCAGAATAGCTTTTAACTTCCTTTGTCACTGCCTATATTTATGAAGTTGTACTCATGACTGTCATTTTCCCTATTTATTTTACAAAATCTATAAACATTGGCACATACACATCCATATTGTGATTGTTTTAATGTCTTCTTTTAACTAGGACTAGAGTTTTGAATCAGATGCAACTGCAGTTAGTTGTTTTGGTGATCCAATAAAGCATCTGTAAGAAACTCTCATTTACCATTTCCCTTTCTTCTGTAAGTTCTTCCTCTTGCAAAAGACCATGTCAGTTTTGGTTAACACCAAAGTATCAGTCAATATGCTCATCTCTCTGCCCATTAAAACTGTGATCACAACTGAGATTAACCCCCAGCCTGAGTTCTCCAATGGAACACACAGCTGCTCCCCACCATGTGCTCCAGACCCCCACCACCAGCAGCAGCATGTATCGCCCACATGCTGCTTTTACAACACCAATGGACATTAGTGGCAGAGCTTGTTCAAACTCCACTTGCTGTGATGCTGATTCTGCTTTGCAAGAAAATTAATATTGCTTGGGTGGACAGAGTATCTTTGTGGAACGCCAGCAAGATCCCAGCTGCATTTCAAACCGTGTCTGACAGACAAGCCCCATGTTTAGCAACCTGCCCATGAAGTGGCTCAGTGGCCTACTGGCAGTAGTCCCAGCTTCACACCCAATCCCTCCCCCTCATGCCCAGCATACCTTGCTGTTATCCTAAAATGAATTTCCACTTACTGCATAGTGAAGCTAGAAAAAAAATACAGATGTGCTTTCAATACATCACATATATTATATGTAAGCTTTGCAGTTGGTATCTTTACATTGAACCAGCAGTTAAAATTCACATGACAGGAACAGACAGTATGCTCTTCAGCCAGCTCAAAGTGTATGTCACTGCAACTTCAGTCAAATTCTTCTAATTTTTTTTTCTCCTGCTTTTTCACTCTTTATCTGTAAGGAAATGAAGTATTCTCAGACAACATCCAGTAGAGACGTCAAGATTAGTGAACTTTCTAGTTCTTCAACACTGGTAGGTTCCCAAGGATAAAACACAACCATTTTCTTCTTTTCAGTCATGAGGAAACCATTATCGCTAAATCTGCCTTTTATACTCCCTACATCCAGAGTAACAAAAGGAGCAATTGCAGTGGTCTGAAGAACAAATATATAAATATCATCTTGTTGGGATATAGAGGCCTGAAAGAAAAATTAAAAAAATGTATTACTAAAAAGAAGATACATGCTAAAGAAGACCCCAGTTACACCCAAACTGGGAAAGACCTGCATGTCAGTAAAACAGGCTGAACAACCACATTTAATCAAAATTAGTATTCTTCATATGTAAGAATCATGCAAAAACTGCAAATGTTACCAGAGCATTCCTACAGAATTACTACAGATTGTGGGAAAATGCTAAGTATTATCACTTTGCCATCTTCTTATGAGAATAACTGAATAAATGGTAATCTGACTTCTACATAGTACTGGTATTCCATTTTTATTGCAGGGAGATTGGTCCTTTCACCAACACTTCACTCGACTTATCAATTCACGCTTGCCTTTCAATTATATACATAATAGAAACACGCAGAAGCAAAAGAAGGTAAAAATCCCAGTAGGACAGAAAGTCATCTCAATGTATCATGGCAGTGAAGCCCTTATACTTCATTTAGTAAAATACAAAAAAAATAGTAGTAAAATATCAGGTCAAGGTATAATGTTCTATATTAAGTTCTATCAGCACTTAAATCTCAGAGAGACTTAAAATCCCAACCAGGATGCATTTTCATGCAACACTCCCCATTCACCATAATGAAAGACCATGCTACATAACTTTCAAATACCAATTAACATCTATAAAAAGAGGACAAATTGCAGTCAGTGCAGGCATCATGTTCTGGTTACAAGAAAAGCAACGCTATTCATTTTTGAGAAAAAGCACAGATCCTCTATACATTTTGTTTCCTGAAGAAATACTAATGCTTTTGATGCTTTTTAAAAGCAATGCTACAAACAGTAGCTCTTGGATTAGCAATGTATTTGAAAGTCTAGTTAGTTTATTAGTAACTAAGTATAGGCATACCAGCCTCTTGCAAAACATTTTTTAATCCCAGCTGCATTTCTTAAAATGACCGCTTTGCATTTATCCTTGCTAGCTACCCCTATTAATTTGTATTGCAAAGACAACAGTTAAAAGATAAAGGAATGAAATTTTCCAAAAATGCTCCAGTTGCAGAGCTTTTTTAATTTATATCATCCATAAACCAAAAAAACCAAACCAAAACAAAGAAACAAACTCCCCACAGCATGACTCAGACTCCAGATTGTACCACCGGATGAAAAAAAAAATTAAAACAGGCTGATTTCTTTTCTTTGTATACTCAGGAGGCAGGCTGTGCTGCCGTGAAAGAGATAAGAAGGAAAAATCTGGCCCATTTTCTTTTTGTAAAGCAATTACGCTGGTCCAGATTCAAAGAGATTAGACCTCTATTTCCCCCTTGTTCAGTTTAGCACTAAAGAGCAAAGCTGCAGTTTGAAAGCCAAATGTGAGAACACATAGGTCCTCATCCTGCCCATCTGATGATTAAGAATTTTCCAATAAGATGTACATGCTACAAAAGTCAGGCTTAACAAAATGTGTGCGCACATACACACAGGGCATGCATGCTCTCTATATATACAGAAAGCCTGCTAGGAACAGAAGAAATCTAAGAAAAAGCAGCAAATTGACTAAATGACAGTGTTATACAACACTGATGCTTTTTGTGCCTTTTTAGGAGACTGACACGCTTGACAGCTATTAAGAAATAATAACTATTATGCAAATCAGAATCCTTACTGGAGGGCAGGGATTTGAAGGAGGAGGAAAGGAGCATGAAATAC